TATAGTTATACAAAATAATAATTTTGATGAGAAATATAAGAATGTGTTTTATCCATTTATCAAATTTCATCCAATGGTTGATATTTCTCTTATTTTAGTTACCTATTGAACTTTTACTTTTATTGATTAATTCTATAGAATTTCATTTATAATAAATAAATCCTTAAATTTTTTAATCAATTAAACTCACTTTTCTGATTTATAAAATTGATTAATATGATAAAATAATGAAAAAAAATTGAGAACTCAACGTATTTTCATATTTTGTAGTTTAATCTTCGAATTTTTATAAACAAATAAATCTTTACATTTACAAAACGAAAAAAATATACATTTTTTCTCTCAATGTATTAATAGATTAACAACAAATTATAAAGAACCAATTAAATAAAAAAACCATTTAACGTAATCATTCCAACCCTCCAAAAAAATCATACAAAAGCTATGGCTCAATTATAAATAGATACATATAAACATTGTATCCATCTCCTTTATTGTTCAAATTATTTAGGGGTTTTTTTTTACTTTAAAAATGATTTACCAATTAGTGGTTACTAATATTCTTCTGGTTAAAATGATATATTTAACGGATTTTAAAAACTCTAGGGATTTATTTATTTAAAAAAAGTTCAAAAACTTATCAATCACTCAAAATTGGAATGTTCGTTGGATTTTTTTTAAATGAATTTACCAATAACTTTTTTTTGTCAAAGGATATATTCAATATGTATGGTTTTACAAAGTTGAGTCATTAAATATTTTGTTTAAAAAAAATTCTAAGATTTAATCATTTAAGCCACTTTTTTTAACCTTTCCTTCTTTTAAGAATTAAAATATGTTAATATCTTATGGTTCAATTGAAAATATATGAACTTAATATAATTAAAATCTGATGCAAATAAATTACATTATAAAACGAGCATTTTATTCTCTGACATACATATTGTTATACTTTTTTTTGTATCTCCTGACAAACCTTCACAAGTTTATAGGTTTATAGTGAACTTTTGCTTATAAGCTTTGTTACTGGTTCTAAATATGAATTAGCTTCGTTGTTAAACTAAAAATGTGAAGGTTTATTATTGTTAAACAAAAGGTTAATTATATAACTTCATATCACTCTTATTATATATTAGATCATCTTTAACAGCTATGTTATAATATAAATTATGATGATTTAAGAGAGTTTTATCTTCTAGCTATAAATGCTATATTGTATGATAAAACAGAAAAGAAAAAAAAGAAGAATATGAAAATCTCTAAAAAATTCTATGTAAAAGAGAGATAATATTTTCATTCTTTATCACCAGTAAAAGGTATTGAAAATAAATATTTTAAGAGAGAGAAATAATATATTATTAGACGTATTGAATATTTTAATAATATATTTAATATTAGACATGCTAAAATATAGTATGTAACACGCCAAAGCCCAAAGCAACGAACTAGCCCAATAACTTCGAATCCAACTTAAAACCATGGTGGAAGTTATTGGTGGTCCATTACCTGAGACTTATAAGGAGCTATAACAATTCTCACATTTTATCAATGTGAGACGAGTTGTTACATAGTAGTTGTTGGAGTTAGATGTACTTTTTATAGAGATTTTAACTTTTGATACTTTGTTTTAAACAAATCATACTATAATTATTGGAGATGCTCTAACGATACATTCTCTAAATTATTGTCAAGGTTCATTATTGTTAAACTAGGTTATGTTAATAAGAAAATGAAGGTTTATATGTTGTTAAAAAAAATGTGAATGTTCATTGCTTTTCAACTAAAATACAAATAAACCATTGTATATGTCAGATAAACTTTTGTTGATAAAACATGGGATGTGAACACTTATTATTATTGTATGATGTTATTACAACCTTTTGTTAGCAAAATATGTGATGATTTGTTATTCTTAAGAGAAAAAAAATAAGATCCATTGTATATTGTCAGCATAAATTTTTGTTAACAACTAATGTAAAAGTTCATTATTGTTAACAAAAAATGAAGTTTCATTATATATTATCGCATAATTTTTTGTTTACAGAATTGTGAAGGTTCATTATTGTCAACGAAATGTTTTGAGTGTTAAGGTTCATTATTGTTAATAAAAAAATATGTTGCCGATAAATTTTGGTTAATAGAGAATGTGAAGGTTCATTATTGTCAACAAAATGTGTGACTATTGAGGTTCATTATTGTTAGCAAAAAGTACACGGATCCATTATTAATATAATTTTTGTTAACAAAAAAATATGAATGTTCATTATTGTCAATAAACTTCATGAATATCATGTTTATTAAAACAGAAAATTATCTACATCCATATTTACATAATTTTTTGTCGAACATTTATTATTCTCAACAAACTGTGTAAGTATCAAAGTTTATTATTATCAATACAAAATACGAATATTCATTATTGTTGATAAATGTATGTGTGAACTAAATAAAACATGGAAATGGTAAAAATAACATGTAATTACAGGACATAGTCTATGATTAAATTGGTGTAAGATCACATGTAATTTTATATTTATTTTATTATGTGATCATTAATGTTTTCATACCCAAAATTACAGAGAATATATAAGTAAATAAATGGGATCAAGATTGATGGGTGCATGAATGAGTAAAAATAAGAGATGACGTGAAAGAAAAACAAAACAACCAAACCAAGAGAGAGAGTGAGTGTTTGTTTGCATGCAATAGCCTTTGTATTCTGCTGCCACATACTCCCCACTGCATGCCTTCCCTTTGGCCACGCACACCCTCACCATCCTCGTCATCCCTCTCTTTCTTCCACTATAAATTTAACCCCTTTCCCATTTCATCTTCTCCACACAAACCCTAATTCCAAAATTCTCTCTCTCTCTCTCATAAGGGATCCAATCATGTCAAGTGGAAGCTGTCTTGAACAACACAAGTTCCATTCCTCCCATCATCAACTTTATCATAATCTTGCCAACAACAACAAGTCAATTCGGGACATTGATATTCCTCCTCGCAAGCTTCTTGGCCGCCGTGCCTCCGCCGCCTCGGCGGAGACGTTCTTGGACAACATGTATCAGCAACAGCAGAATGAATCTCCGAAGGTTCTACCGGAGGATACCCTTTTCAAGAGATTCCTGCCTTATAACTCTGGTGTGGATTCTGATGATGAAGATAGCGATCCCTACTCTGGTGATCATTTTCGTATTTATGAGTTCAAGGTTAGGAAGTGTACTCGTAGTCGCTCTCATGACTGGACTGATTGTCCCTTTGCTCACCCCGGCGAAAAGGCACGCCGGAGGTGTCCTCGTCGGTATAATTATTTGGGTACTGTTTGTGCGGATTTCCGGCGTGGGAGCTGTAGCCGTGGTGATTTATGTGAGTTTGCTCATGGGGTTTTTGAGTGCTGGCTTCATCCTTCTCGATATCGCACTGAAGCCTGCAAGGATGGTAAGAATTGCCAACGGAAAATATGCTTTTTCGCTCACACCCCGCGCCAGCTCCGAGTGCTCCCGCCTGCGGAGGCTGCAGTTTCCGGGAAGAAGTATCCATCGGAGACTTGTCATTGCTGTGCCCACTGTCGGTGCCATTCAGGTATCCACCACACTAATTCTCCTACCTCCACTCTAAACATTGATCAGCTGGACAATCTGTCACCACCGGCTTCGCCGCCCTTCTCTCCGGCCAGATCCGGAGCAGGGTTTTCCCCGATTTCCCGATTTGCCGACAGGATGGCTAGAGCCGAGTCATTCGGGATGACCCAGTTTGGAAACAGCAGTTCTATTCAGAAAGACTCCATGTCTATGAATGAGATAATGAGTAATCAATCGGTGCTAAATGACCTCATGAGATCTATGGAGGCCATGACGGTGGAAGAGAATGATCAATTCCCTAATGTGAAGTTCAACGGCGGCAGCGGTTGTGTTGATGGTGGCGATCAGTACCCAGAGTTTGATCATAATCATCTGTCGGATTCAGGCCATTCGGATCTGAGTGGCAGCTTCTCGATGTCCAGCAATTCAAAGCAGAATCTTTATAATGAGAACTTGATAAGTGGTCCAGATTTTGGATGGGTGAATGACCTTCTGACATAGATGATCAATGATATTCATTCCGATAAAGACGATATATATGATGATGATGATGATGATGATGATGACTGTAAATGATGATGAGGAATGGAATTAAGAAGCGGATTATTTGAAGAAGTTATTATTGTTTTTAATTATGAATATGAATATTATTAAGTATGTGTATTGCTGATCTGGATGTGAAATTGTACCTGGTTTCAAGTGTGTATGAAAAGGGATGATTATGTGATATAATAATACCTTTCCAAGTTTAATTCAGGTTTGAAGGTGGTTTTTTCCTTAATTGGGAAATTAAAAGATTCTGTCTTTAAGTGGAAACACTTTCCAATTAAGATGAAGATCGGCGTATTGATGTTGGATCCATATATGAACTCAAATCAACTTCACTCATTAAATCCTATATGTATATGTATATGTATATGTATATGTATATGTATATGTATATGTATATGTATATGTATATGTATATGTATATGTATATGTATATGTATACGTAAACACTAACAAGGTATACCGAGATGCATCAGACCATTCCTTTTTAAAATGCAATTTATGAGTAAACATGACATTGAAAGTGATAAGAATTAGGATCTCTTTTTACGATAACATTTCTTATATATATGGAGATCCATGAAATTCATTTTAAGCCACTAATTTAAAATAATTAAAAAAATAACTAATACATTTTTAAGGAAAAAAAGTTAGAATTTAAAAAATATATCTCTTCTATAAAACAGTAGCACATATATTCACAATTAAATATGTATATAAAAAGATCCACATTATATACAGAGTAAACATAACCTTATTAATTTCGTTCTAGGTAGGTAGTAAATAGTATGTTCATAAGTGATAGATTTATAGTTAGTTTTGTTATTTTTCTTACTGTATACAATATGTTCACAAGTTATAATTATAATAAGAACAACAATATTTTTAAATGTAGTTATAACAACAACAATTTTTTAAAAGGTGTTACTTGAATGTGTATGTACGTATCATGGAGAGAGCAGAGAGTGTTTCTATTAGATTAAATTAGATTTTACAGACGTCAAGAATTTGGTGTGTGTATTTATATATTTCTTCATATTCTTTTATGATATTATTACCATTCAAAGAAAATAGTGAAGGTTTTGTATAGAGTTATGTGTTATATAGGATAATTAATGTGTGTGTGTGTATCCTTATAAACACACATAACATTATAATTATATATATAGACTTGGGATCATATGAGACCAATAGTTTTTTATGAGACCCGTAACACCAATTCTTAATCCTTGGATTAGATTTACAATCGTCAGATCT